TACAACAGCTAGTCCCCACCGACAGGATTGCATGGTAAGTCATTTCACTATGGAAGTAATGCTGATTATGGAAGTAATGCTGATTATGGAAGTGGACAGTAATGTAGGAAAAAAGGAAACTGCACAGAAAAGACCCTTTGGCTACTCCAGGTCGCCATGAGTATACAGGCTGTTGGCTAGGCCCTCTGTGGCTGGGTTCAGCTTCCTGCCGAAGACCTCTAAAGGACTGGTTCTCTGAAGGGTGTCCAAACCAGAACTTCCCAGACGCCATGACTCTGAGATCAAGAATGCACATGAAGCCCTGGGCAAGGGATTCACACTCTTTGGGTCTGCTTTAGGTTGTCTTTGAAATAAAGACAATGTGATCAGTCCTGCCTGGGTCCCAGAGTTGTAAAGATCAATATATTTATCAATAGGTTTATTTTTAAACATTGCTAGTTGTGTCTCTTCACATTTGTTACCAAATTCCTTCTCTTCTCATTGTTTTAAAACCACGGAGTGAAATGTCATTGCTTTATAATCTGGTTTTAATACATTGTGCTAAGATGTCTTATTCAAATATTCTTTCAGGTTATCAGTCATCAGTGCTTCCAGATTAAAATTTTAATTATTTAAATCTTTTTTGAAAAATACTATTGAGATTTGGATTAGGACAACATAACAACTATAATTAATTGGGGGTGGGCGGGCTTTGGAATAAGGCCTGGCTCTGTCACCCAAACCAGAGTGCAGTGGCACAATCTTGGCTCACTGCAACCTCCACCTACTGGGACAAAATCAATTATTAAAATAGAAGAAGTTCCTATAGCTATTATCACTAGAGAAATTACAGTGTTTTTAACCCTGGCCAACAGCTGGGGACAAATCTAAAATGTATATTGCTTATTATATCACAGTATCCCACAACCCCTCCCCCGAGTGCGAGGCGGTGACTATGCAGACGTGAGACATGCAGTTGCTCTCAGCCCACAAACTAGGCAGTGGTTCCCAAAAAAAATTGTTTTGTCACCCACAGGATGAAGATACCATGATCCAGTTCATGGACACACAACTGAAACAAAAGGTTCACAACAATATATAATTGGTCACAACCCACTTAACTGTATTGATGTCGTGACTTGCCAGTAGGTCACAACCTTCATTTTTTTCCTGTTTATGGAGGTAAAACTTACGTATGGTAAAATTTACCCCCTTTTTTTTTTTTTTTTTTTTAATTGAGACACAGGTCTCACTATGTTTTCCAGGCTGGTCTTGAACTCCTGGGCTCAAGTGACCCTCCTGCCTTGGCCTCTCAAAGTACTGGGATTATAGGCATGAACCACCACAGCTGGCCAAAATTCACCCTTTTAGATGTGTACAGTTACATGAATTTTGACAGCCTTTATAAAGACATTTGACCACCACCACATCATATTACTTTGGTGCCAACCTAATAGAATATTCCCATCACTCCAAAATATGCCTTGTGTTTCTTTGTAGCCAGTCTTTTCTCTCCAACCCAGCCCCGGGAATTCGCTTAATCTGATTTCTGTCTTTATAGTTTTGCCTTTGCCAGAATGTTATACAAATAGAATCATGCACCATGTAACCTTCTGAGGCTGACTTCTTTCACTTGATGTAATGCTTTTGAAATTCAGGTATGTGGTAATGTCTTTTAGTAGTTCCTATATATTGCTGAGTCATATTCTATTGTATGGATGTACTGCAATTTGTTTATCTGTTTACATTTTAGTTGCTTCTGAGTTTGGGCAGTTATGAATAAGCTGCCATAAACATTCACATATGAGTCTTTGCATGGACATATGTCTCCATTTCTATGGCTGAAATATCTAGGAGCAGGGTCATTGCGTCATGGGATAATCGTATGCTGTATTAGTCCATTCTCAGACTGCTAATAATGACATACCTGAGACTGGGTAATTTATAAAGGAAAGAGGTTTAATTGATTCACAGTTCCACAGGACTAGGAAGGCCTCAGGAAACTTAAAATAATGGCAGAAGGGGAAGCAAACATGTCCTTCTTCACATGGCAGCAGCAAGGAGAAGTGCCAAGTAAAGGGGAAACCCCTTATAAAACCATCAGATCTCTTAAGAACTCACTCGCTATCACAAGAACAGCATGAGGAAAACCACCCCAGTGATTCAGTCATCTCCACCTAGTCCTGCCCTTGACACATGGGGATTATTACAATTCAAGGTGAGATTTGGGTGGGGACACAGCCAAACCATACCATGTGCCAAATTATTTTCAACAGTGGTTACCATTTGCCAGCAGTGTATGAGGTTTCCATTGTTCTGTGTACTCACCTTCATTTGGCATTGTCAGTTTTCATATGAGCCACTGTAATAGGTGTATAGTAGCATGTAATTGTGATTTCAATTTTCATACTGTAATGACTAATGATATTGACCATCTTTTCATGTGATTGTCGTCATCTACATATCTTCTTTGCTGGAGTATTTGTTAGATCTTTTGTCTGGTTGTTTTTTTTTTTAAGTAGAGATAGGGTTTCGCCATGTTGGCCAGGCTGTTCTTGAACTCCTGGCCACAAGTGATCTGCCCACCTCAGCCTCCCAAAGTGCTGGGATTGCAGGCATGAGCCACTGCACCCAGCTTTGTCAGTTTTTTAATTGGGATATTTTCTTACTGAGTTACTGAGTTTTGAGAGTTCTTTATATATTCTGGTTGACAATCCTTTATCAGATAGGTGTTTTGCAAATATTTTCTCCGTGTCATATTCTTTCACTTCCTTAACAGTGTCTTTTGAAGAGCAGACGTTTTTTATTTGGATGAAGTCTAGTTTATTGATGTTTTTAATGGTTTGTCCCTTTTAGGTCCTATCCAAGAAATCTTTGCCTAATCCACAGTTGCAAAGATTTTCTCCTAGAAGTTGTGTAGTTTTAAATTTTATATTTAGGTCTATGATCTGTTTTGAGTTTATTTTTCATATATGGCATAAGAGATGGACCAAGGTTCTTTTTTCCCCATATGGATGTCCACTGATCTGCATTTTGATAGAGCCAGGGAAGAGGGCCATGTGCAAAGCAGATCACTGCAGATGGAACGGTGAGTGCTGCCAGAGGGGGTTGTGCAGGGCACCAGGAAGCCCTGAGAGGAGAGCTGTTAACCTGCTGGAGACTGGGGACAGCCATACAGAGGTGATGACTCATAGGCTGGGCCTGAGAGGTAGACAGCAGAGAGAAGGTAGACAAGGGTGGTCTAGGGACAGCAAAGGCAGAGCAGGTGACAGCATGAAGGAGACTGACTCAGTGGTGTCCGGAGTGTGTGGAGGAGGGCAGGGTTAGACATGAGAGGGGAAGAGGAAGGTGGTTTGGGCAGGGCCGGTGCTTCAGGGAGGTCTGCAGACCAGAAAGGAAGGTAGACAGAAAGCAGGGAGCCGAGTGAGGATGTAGGGGTGAAGGGGGCAGGGATGAGGCCTGAGCTCTGGGAGTAGCTATAGGGATGGGTTCAAGGAGACAGTCAAGACAACCTGTAGGGCTGGAGTTGGGGCTGCCTCCCTCAGGCAGTTGGGTGGCTGAGAAGAGTTCACAGCAGAGTTAGGGGCAGAGGAATGCACAGGTGAGGCTTCTGGTACCTGTGTTACTGGTGGAGGGTCTTGACTATGAGTTGTCCAGGTCCTTGGCATTTTGAACAAAGTAGCAGAGGGGCTGGACGTGGTAACCCCCACACTTTGGGAGGCCTAGATGGGCGGATCAGTTGAGGTCAGTCCAAGACCACCCTGGCCAACATAGTGAAATCTGTCTCTACTAAAAAAAAAAATAATAAAAAGAGTAGCAGGGGAATGAAATGCAGGAACGAAGCAGCGAAAGCAGGAATTAAAGTGAGAAAGCACTCCACAGGGTAGGAGTGAGCCGGAGCAAGGAACTCAAAGGCCCAGTTACAAAGTTCTCTGGGCTTTAAGTACCCCATTTGAGGTTCTTATCAGCTACCCCTTATCTGGACGAAGGATTTAGTCTGTGGCGAATTAAAGGCTGAAGTGAATGGGCACCCTATGCAGATAGAGGGATGGTCCCAATCTAAGGCCCCCTCCCTTTCCATCTGAGACATGGTGGAGTGGGAGGGTTGCTGGGAGAGAAGCGTTTTGATCCTTTGTCACCCAGCTGGGGAGATGGGGTTTTTCCTCTTGGTTCAGCTTTAGGAATTTGGTGTTAATTGGCCTTAGGGTCCCTGCCCCCAGACCCAGGGTTTTCCTTTTGATCCAGCTTTGGGAAGTCAGCAGAATTGGCCTCAGATTTTTTGCCCCCAGACCTTGGTGTTTTCTCTTTCATGAAGTTAGCACAAATTGGCCCGGTTCCGTGTCTCCAGACCCTGTTCTCGTGCCTCGCTTGCAGAATATCCAGGTGGACGTGGCCAGGAGGCAGCTGGGAAGCCATGGGGGGCTGAGGCTCAGCGGTGTTAGTTCCCACTACCTGACTGCAAACCTCCGCCGACTCATGAAGCTCCCCTTGTGTCGTGTCATTGTGCCTTTTGTAGCAGGGCCGTAGATTTGTGATGATGGACACTGTGGCCTTGTGACTAGAAAATAGGGGCTTAGACCAGGCACGATGGCTCACGCCTATAATCCCAACACTTGGGGAGGCCAAGACAGACAGATCACGAGGTCAAGAGATCGAAACCATCCTGGCCAACACGGTGAAATCCCATCTCTACTAAAAATACAAAAATAAATTAGCCAGGTGTGGTGGTGTGCGCCTGTAATCGCAGCTACTTGGGAGGCTGAGGCAGGAGTATCGCTTGAATTCTGGGAGGCAGAGGTTGTAGTGAGCTGAGATCGCACCACTGCACTGTAGCCTGGTGCCAGGGAGACTCTGTCTCAAAAAAAAAAAAAAAAAAAAAAGAAGGGCTTGGAGGACTGAGCTCTGTGACTCAATAGGTAAGGGGAGATTACCACAGAGAGCTTCCTATACTCGGAGCAGGAGACCTGCCTGCTAGCCAGCGTCTGCCCTGACTGCCTGTACAACTGTGCTGCTCTCCCCAGACAAATGACTGGGAGCCATGACATCATCGGGGGCACAGGAAAGCAGGTGCTCTGCTGCTTTTGCAAGCAGAGAAATAGGAGTTTGGGCACCTATCCAGGGGTCCCAGGGAATGCCCTGTTGCTCCTGACCTCCCCTGCCTGTAATGCTCTGAGCACTTCAGCACTAACGCATGGAAGAGATAAGGGTCTGTGGACCATGGAACTGTTCATGTCCTCTCTGACACCTGCTCCTTTTCCTGCCATGGAGTTGAACCACTTCACAGAGCCTGGGCCTGAAACCCAGTGTTGGCAGGGGGGTGTTTGTTTTCGAGGAGAAAGAGAGACTGAAACTAGAACATGCACATTTCTATCCAGAAAGAATAAAAAGAGGGCAACAGGGAAGAAGATTCTGGACTAAGTAAAGGGGACCCACTCCTGGGTCCAGCTCCTGCCTGGGCCCTCTGGAGACAGAATTGGCCAGATTCAGCCCTGAGTCACAGCACCCTCCCCAGTTGCTGCCTGGCAGTCAGTCTCCACAGCAGCAGCCACGCCCCCAGTGGCGGCTCGCCCACACCTCTGTGGGACCTCCCCACCGTCTCACAGCCCATCTGCTCCAGGCTTCTACTGACAATTTTGTATTTCACATGGGCTCATTTCTCCTCAAACACTCCAGATGGGGAATGTCTTTCTACAATATCAAAGTGCCCTGTTAGACTGGGGAGGACTCATGAGGAGACATACCCCCGCCCCCGCCAGAGAGTCGAGCATGGCAGCCGAATATCTCGCACTGGCATGGCCCCCATCCTCTGGAGAAAGGAGGCCTCAGTGCAGTCGGCCTCTTCAGGAGGCAGAAATGTTAAGAAGTTCTCGCCACCCCTGCTGGGTAACTTTGGGGAGGTGCCTCCTCAAACCTCTGTTTCTCCATCTAGACAGTAAGCATGCTTGGCAGGATGGGTTTTTGTTTATTTGTTTTTTGAGACCAGGTCTCACTCTGTCTCCCAGGCTGGAGTACTGTGGCGTAATCACGGCTCACTGCAGCCTCGACCTCCCAGACTCAAGCGATCCTCCCACCTTAGCCTCTCCCAAGTAGCTAGGACTACAGGTACTCGCCACCACACCCTGCTTTGTTGTTGTTGTTGTTGTTGTTGTTGTTGTTGTAGAGACAGGGTTTCGTCATGTTGGCCAGACTGGTCTCGAACTCCTGAGCTCGCCTCGGCCTCCCAAAGTGCTGGGATTACAGGTGTGAGCCACTGTGTCTGCCAGCCAGATAGTTTTTGATGGACCAAGGTTCATTCCCAATGGTCTCCCACATCTTCTACCTGTCTTGTCACTGTGCCTTCATTCTCTCTTGTCTCCTCTACCAGCACAGGCTCTTCTGGGGGTAATCCTGGGGCCAGTTCCTGTTGGCATCCCTACCTGCCATGTAGGGGAAGGATGACCAAGTCTGTCCACAGGCTGGCTCTGGGGATGGTATAGTGTTGGAAGCTGCAACTGAGATCTCCTGTTTTCTAGAACATGTGGTGAAGGAGATGCGCCAGCCATAGATGCTGACAGCTGGGAGATCGGGGGGCTTTGTTAAGGAGTGGATAGGTTACCTTCAGGAGGGTGCTCTGACAGAGTCCTGCATTTGCACTGACCTTGCAGCCAGTTTCAGAGAAGCTTGGGGTGTTATGACAGCAAAGGACAGGCCACCAGGAGCCAAGAGCATTTTCATGGCAAGGCAAGTCAGCATGGGAGCAGTGAAAGTCCAGAAAGGATTGTCATTTGCAGTCCGGACAGCTGAATGACCTACTGTGGGCCTTGAAGATAGATGGAAATGACACTAATCATGGCCATTCGTTGTCAAATCTTTGAGAGAAAAATAATTAAATTCAGCAGTGTCATTGGTACATAAGGAGGAGCACTGAGCCTGGATGCATAAATCTCAGACCATTTGTTGAGTACTTAGAACATACCGATCTTTGGCTAGTAAGCATTTACACATTTTTCTTTCATATAAAGGAAACTGAGTTTGAATCCTGGCGAGGCACTTCGCCTTTCTGAGCTTGAGGAATGAATCCTGGCACAGTTTTCCTCATCTGCACGACAGGGATGGATGATTATATTGTCTATGTTGAAAGATAATACAACTTTTCTTTTTTTGAGACAGAGTTTCACTCTTGTTGCCCAGCCTGGAGTGCAATGGCGCAGTCTCAGCTCACTGCAGCCTCCACCCCCTGAGTTCAAACGATTCTCCTGCCTCAGCCTCCTGAACAGCTGGGATTACAGGTGCCCGCCACCATGCCCAGCTAATTTTTGTATTTTTAGTAGAGATGGGGTTTCACCATATTGGTCAGTCTGATCTTGAACTCCTGACCTCAGGTGATCCACCCACCTCAGCCTCCCTAAGTGCTGGGATTACAGGCGTGAGCCACCGTGCCCAGCTGATACAACTATTATGCAAGCAAATATATGTATAAACACGTAGCATAGCTTTCAGTCCAGGCACGTTTTCCTTTCTTTCTTTAGACCAGTGGTTCTCTATTCTAACTGAACATTTAGAATCACTAAGGGAACTCTTTCAAAAAACCAGTGCTGGGGCAGTATTCCAGACCAATTAGAACAGAACATCGGCAGGGGGACCCAGGCTTTAGGGGTCTTTTCCTTTCTTTTCCTGTTTCCTTTTCCCTTTCTCCTTTCTCCCTAGTGAAGCTAATGTACTTTGCACAGTGTTAACAATTATCACCCATTCATCAGGTATTAATTCATTTCAATCCCAAGGGCATAGGCTTGATGTACAATAAGGAGTTAAGGACTGTGAGTTCTCAGATGAGGTTTGGTTATAGTCATTTCTCACTTGTCACCCTCTCCAGGGCCACTTCCAGCAACCCAGTCTCCTGCCATGTCCGACCCCATCACGCTGAACGTCGGGGGGAAGCTCTATACAACCTCATTGGCAACCCTGACCAGCTTCCCTGACTCCATGCTAGGCGCCATGTTCAGCGGGAAGATGCCCACCAAGAGGGACAGCCAGGGCAACTGCTTCATTGACCGTGACGGCAAAGTGTTCCGCTATATCCTCAACTTCCTGCGGACCTCCCACCTTGACCTGCCCGAGGACTTCCAGGAGATGGGCCTGCTCCGCAGGGAGGCCGACTTCTACCAGGTGCAGCCCCTGATTGAGGCCCTGCAGGAGAAGGAAGTGGAGCTCTCCAAGGCCGAGAAGAATGCTATGCTCAACATCACACTGAACCAGCATGTGCAGACGGTCCACTTCACTGTGCGCGAGGCGCCCCAGATCTACAGCCTCTCCTCCTCCAGCATGGAGGTCTTCAACGCCAACATCTTCAGCACCTCCTGCCTCTTCCTCAAACTCCTTGGCTCTAAGCTCTACTACTGCTCCAATGGCAATCTCTCCTCCATCACCAGCCACTTGCAGGACCCCAACCACCTGACTCTGGACTGGGTGGCCAATGTGGAGGGCCTGCCAGAGGAGGAGTACACCAAGCAGAACCTCAAGAGGCTCTGGGTGGTGCCTGCCAACAAGCAGATCAACAGCTTCCAGGTCTTCGTGGAGGAGGTACTGAAAATCGCTCTGAGCGATGGCTTCTGCATCGATTCTTCTCACCCACATGCTCTGGATTTTATGAACAATAAGATTATTCGATTAATACGGTACAGGTAAAAGGACCCCAACAGCATTGGAGACGGGGAGTCCCAAGAAGCTCATGTCAGCCAGGTCTTGGAGGGCATCTCGCCAGTGGTGCGAGGCAGGGGACTGTACTAATCTGTATTAATTGTGTAGCAGGACTTGATTTCCCCCATGATGAAGTCCACCTTTTGGAATCCATTGTCCTCTGAACAGAACCACCTTTTTTCTTGCCATTTTGAGCTGCAGATGGGCTATTGTGACAAGTGAAGAGTCAGCTGATGTGTACTAAAGGAGGCCACAGGAGGATTTTCCAGCCGGGACAAAGGAGTGGCAGCTTTCTCCTGGGCTCCACCCATCTGTACCACTAGCCAGTGCCGCGTTTATCCATCTGTAAGAAGGCCCTGCTGGAGAGGATGGGATGAGAACAAGAGGCTACCTCTAGTTAACCAGGACATAAAGTCCCCAGCAGTTCCTGTCACACCTGCTCCTCCCTCCCTAGGGTGCATCGATAATTGTGAATGTTTGCCCAGGGGTGACCGTGTTTGGCTGGCTTGGAATGCCATGCATTCTCAGAGCCCTGTTAGTATCCCCTCTTGGGGGACAGAGATGAGGTGTGGCAGGGTCTAGAGGAATGAGTGTCCAGGCAGGGTTCAGAAGGTAGGAATGTGCCTCTTGATGGGGCTGAATCAAGGGATTCCTGGCTTCAGAAAGGGTCTGCTATCTCTGCAAAGATGTGCAAGAGTCTGGAGCCAGTGTAATGAAAGTCGCTTCCAAATCCAGTCTGTCGCCTGACTTTTGTCATTGTTTTCCCAAAAATTTGAGGTATCATTGAAACAGGTCATTTTAAACAAATATATTATGGATTCTCAGGGTTAGAAATAATTCGATTATTTCTCCCTCCCCCACCCCTAGAACACCCCAGCACATCTGAGGATGAGCGCCTCTCCCTGGGTACCAGCAAGTGATCACCTTGGCCTGCTTGCATACCTCAGCTCATAGGTAGTGCGCCATCCCTAAGGCAGCTCCTGCCATGGTTGGACGGTGCTGACTGTTAGAAAGTTCTTCCCTATATTGAGCCAAAATCTGTTCTGCCACTTGCTGGATCTTGATGGCAGACCTTCGCTTTCACCCAGTTACATATCTTTGCTTTCAAAATAGTCACCTTGAGAGGCCAGAAATTTTTCGGAAAACATTATTACTCAGAATTCAGATTCCCCTCTGGGATCTGTCTTCAGAATCAAAGTTAGCTCTTTTCTATCCCCTGTAAGTCGTCCCCTTTTGTTATCGCTTCATCTCGTTTGTGACCCCCATTTCACCCACCTTCCCCACAAGCTATGGCTCCATATGCCTTTTGACCATTTTCTGTTGGAAGAGGAAGATTCGCGGCCCCTGAGGGGATCCGGAGGAAAGAGACAGGGTCTCCGAGCGTGCTGTGCAGCAAGGAGCCCAGGAGTGGTGTGGACCATAATAGTGCCCTTAGGGTAAATGTGTGGCCCCTAAGACCCTGCCCTCAGGAAGGCGACCTTCCCCTGCAGTCCTGTGTCCTACCCCTGGGTCTCCGTGGGGTGCCATCCAGGGCAAGCAACCCAAGCACTGCTTCCCACCGGATGATGAGCTGTGCAGGCCTCCAAACTGCACGTCATGATTCATCCCTAAAGTGAGTTTGGCCTTGAGAGTCCCAGGGTCCTCCCCCCGGGCAGGGGTCCTCAGACAAAGGCAAGGAAGCCTGGTGACACAGGCACCCATGGGAGGTGGGCCCAGAAAGGGGCTTCCCGTAGATAAGCCCTGTGAGTAGGGAGCTTGTACACTGGGCCATGGGCAGAGCCAGCTCCCTTGAGCAGTAAAGGCCCTTTGCCCGCTAAATGGGACCCAGGAGTCTCTCTGACAGCTTTTCTGCCAGGTGCAGTGGCTTATGCCTGTAATCCCAACACTGGGAGGCTGAGGCGGGAAGATCACCTGAGGTCAGGAGTTCAAGACCAGCCTGGCCAACATGGTGAAACCCCACCTCTGCTAAAAATACAAAAATTAGCTGGGCATGGTGGCAGGCGCCTATAACCCCAGCTATTTGGGAGGCTGATGCAGGAGAATCTCTTGAACCCAGATAGCAGAGGTTGCAGTGAGCTGAGAGTGTGCCATTGCACTCCAGCCTGGATGGCAGAATGAGACTCCATCCCAAAAACAAACAGCTGTCCCAGGCCAAGAGTACTTGGGAAAGCCCTTCATGGAGAACCCAGTTTAGACCAAGTAGCAGAAGCTGTGGTCACAACAAAACAATGTGAGGAAGAAATCTTACAAATCACTACTGCCCTTTTTCCTTTTCCATAAAACTGTCCATCTTTTCGGTGCTCCCTAATCCAAGCAGCTTGACTTTAGAGAAATTGCAGAAGCAGTGAAGCCTCTAACATGCTGTGTGACTTTATGTAAGTCACTCACCTCACTGAGCCACCTCCATTTCTTCATCTGTGAAATGGGCATAACAGTAATACATAACCCTACCTACCTCACAGGGCTGTTGTGAGGATCAAATGAAATAATGTACGTGAGAATACAGTATAAATGATAAAGGACTGTTACTCTTTTGTGTCTGCTTACAACGGGGAAAAACTGGTCTTGAGTCACAGTGACTTGGGTTTGAATCCAGAGCTCCCAGGCTCTGTAACCTTGGACAAGTCACTGAACGTCTCTGATTTGTTTCCTCATCAGGCAACAACCCCTTCCAGGGTTATGCAACTTAAACGAGCTGGTGTCTCTGAAAATTCCGAGCTAGGCCTGGCACCCAGGAGCTCAGTGCTCTTGCAGGAGGTAGTCAGGGTGGACTCTTGGCGGGGGCTAGGAGTTCCAGGAGAGTAGTTTAACAAGCCCTTACGGAGCACTTGCTGTGTCGGTCCTGAGGACGGGAACAGCCACGAATAAGCTCAGCTAAGTTCAGCCTGGAGAAAGTTTAGAGATTCACACAGCGTGCTGTGGGAACTCAGGGAAAGGGCTCAGTTCTCAGAAGGAGGCTTGTGGATGGCCAAGGTGGGCCTCTGAGGGTAGGTCAGCCTTAACAGAATAAGCAAGAGAGTGCCATGGGCACAGGGAACAGCAGGAGCAGAGCTGGCAGCCAGGCAGGGAGGGCAAGCACGGGCGGGTGTGCATTCACACCGCCGCTGCACTAGGGGCGGGAGGGGGCACGCAGTGCAATCTCATTGACCGCATCCAGGTTAGGTGAGCTCGGCCTTCTGCTTGGCAAAAATGTGAGAAAGATGGAGAACAAATGCGCAGCAGTGATGGCAGCACCATCGGTGGACGGGTGAGTCTGAGTGCGAATTGTGAGCAGGGATGTGCTTCTTGTGAGCCCCTCACTGTCCTGGGTGAGACCCTGTGGCAATCTCACCTGGACTCAGTTTACCCTTTTATGCTGCCAGGGGCTCCATCCCAGCTGAAGGAGCAACGCCGGGAACACAACACTTGTCAGCTCTCAGTTCCTGCCCTAGGTTTGGTCCCATGCATGCTGAGGGACAATTAGAATGGGTGCCTGAGGGAACCCTAAGCACCCACTGGTGTGACTACTTCATGAGGACCACCACCAAACGGGCCCTGCGTGCTTGAAGGCCAGCAGCAGGCACCACTCTGTGACCTCATGCCCTTAGCACCTCCAAAAGCCCTCCACCCTCTTAAGAAGGGCCTAGCCTCATGACCCTGGTCTGCCTTTGGGCCAGAGCTCCCAGTGCAGGGGTGGCCAAGGTCCCCACTTGCCCACACCTCAGAATGTGCAGCCTAGGACACAGCCACTCTGTTTTGTAAACTGCAGCCTAAATCACACAGCATTTGTCTAACTACCCGTTTATTCACTCCAAATTTCCAGCTTCCTTTTACAAATTACTCTTAAAACAGTCTGACTGGGAGGCCGAGGCAGGCAGATCACGAGGTCAAGAGGTCAAGACCATCCTAGCCAACATGGTGAAACCCCATCTCTACCAAAAATACAAAAATTAGCCAGGCGTGGTGGCAGGCGCCTGTAATCCCAGCTACTTGGGAGGCTGAGACAGGAGAATAGCTTGAACCTGGAAGGCGGAGGTTGCAGTGAGCCCAGATTGCACCACTGCCCTCCAGCCTAGCAACAGAGTGAGACTCCATCTCAAAAAAAACAAACAACAACAACAAAATCATCAGGCTAGGTGTAATCACCTGTAATCCCAGGTGTTTACAGATCAGACCTGTAATCCCAGCACTTGGGGAGGCCAGGGTAGGCGGATCACTTGAGGTCAGGAGTTCGAGACCAGCCTAATGAACATAGTGAAACACTGTCTCTACTAAAAATACAAAAATAGGCCAAGCATGGTGGTGCATGCCTGTAATCCCAGCTACTGGGGAGGCTGAGGCACAAGAATTACTTGAACCCAGGAAGCGGAGATTGCAGTGAATCGAGATCACACCACTGCACTCCAGCCTGGGCCACAAAGCAAGAATGTCTAAAAATAAAAATAAAAAAACATCAGTCTGTCATTAGTGGGGGCTTAGCCAAGGTCAGTCCTGGGCCAGTTTCTTGGCCCAAGAAATTTCAGCCCATCCCCTTCCTGAATTGCAGTCTCTCCACACTGACCGCCTACATCTGCCTGTGTCCCAGGGGGCTCTGGGCTGATAGGGGTGGGTGGCTGGCTGGGAAACGAGGCCTGTGATGAGCTCCGGGAGCAAAACAACCTTGATAACAGGCCCATCAAAGGGAGGGATGGGACTCTGGCAGCTCCGTCTGCCCAGACAGCCTGGTGACCTCAGTCTGCTTCAGAACCTTCGGGACAGTGTGGCACCAACCGAGCTGTGGAAACAGTCCGGTGACACACTCACCCCAGTCTGAGGCACAGAGACCAATGGGGGCTCACTGAGCAACTCGTGGCACCCAGGACCCCACCTGACACAAAGGACAGCAAAACAAGCTTTGAGGCAGGGCTGCCTGGCTCTGACGCTCATCAAGAAGTGCACGCTCAGCCTGCTCTATCTGACCCTCTCCACTTGTTTTCCTGGTCCCGTTTCCTGCCAAATTCCCTGCCACTCTCACCGTCCCACCACCAAAACACAGGGCACAACCTTTGTCAACATTTCCAGGTTAGTTGGCAGCCCCAGAGTGTTGCAGCCCATTCACTTCCTTACGCCAAGTCCCTCTCCAAAGCCTGGGTTCCCCTTTACCAAAGAGTTGGGCAAAGGCCTTGTTGAGCCACATTTGAAATCCCTAGAGATCCTGCCAGCTAAAGAGCAAAGGTTAATGTGTTATGATATGGGTACCCCTCCCCAGCCCTAAGTTCACTTTATACATCCTATGTTGGATTTGTTTACTCGACACCCTTTTGCTTGACACCTTGTATTAAGTTGCCAAGTGCCTTCACATCCACAGTTTCCTTTCACGGAACCACAGGATATGTCTTGCCATCCCACACTTGTCTGGGCCTCCCTTTACCACTCTGTCTTCACAGCTCATCCTTCAACACTGTGTAAGCCCTGCCTCCTTAACTCTACCCAGTAGAGTCAGTCCCAGCGCAGGCTGTGCCATCCTATACCTGGTGAGGACTTTCATCATCACACGGCACTTGTTCACAGCTAGTGCTGCACTGGTAAACAAAGCCCTGATCTATAGTATGATAGTATGGGCCAATTTCATCTAAATATCATCACCATCGTCAGTTTCAAATAAATACCGTCGGCCAGGTGCAGTGGCTCACACCTGTAATCCCAGCACTTTGGGAGGCCAAGGCGGGCGGATCACCTGAGGTTGGGAGTTCAAGACCAGCCTGACCAACATGGAGAAACCCTGTCTCTACTTTAAATCCTTCAACACTGTGTAAGCCCTGCCTCCTTAACTCTACCCAGTAGAGTCAGTCCCAGCGCAGGCTGTGCCATCCTATACCTGGTGAGGACTTTCATCATCACACGGCACTTGTTCACAGCTAGTGCTGCACTGGTAAACAAAGCCCTGATCTATAGTATGATAGTATGGGCCAATTTCATCTAAATATCATCACCATCGTCAGTTTCAAATAAATACCGTCGGCCAGGTGCAGTGGCTCACACCTGTAATCCCAGCACTTTGGGAGGCCAAGGCGGGCGGATCACCTGAGGTTGGGAGTTCAAGACCAGCCTGACCAACATGGAGAAACCCTGTCTCTACTTTAAAAAAAAAAAAAAAAAGCCAGGTGTGGTGGTGCATGCCTGTAATCCCAGCTACTTGGGAGGCTGAGGCAGGAGAATCACTTGAACCTGGGAGGTGGAGGTTGCAGTGAGTCAAGATCATGCCATTGAACTCCAACCTGGGCAACAAGAGTGATACTCTGTCTCAAAAAATAAATAAATAAAATAAAATAAATACTGTCACCACTGTCAGTTTCAAGCCACCAATGGGATGTCACCACCAACCTGGAAGACAGACACAGAAGCGGCTCTGAAGAGCAGCTAGGATGAGCAGCTCCAGCCCCCCACCATCTTTCTGGCTGATCCACATGCTGGTAAGGGCAGGGGCTCTGTCGTGCCAGACTAGGGACTGGCCCCTAGCATCTTCTCCTGCCCCTTCATTCTGTGACACTAACCTGTGAACATAATGCTTACAGATGGAGTGGTCCTGTGATTTCTGTATTTTCCAGTGTGAACTGCTGGACTATATAAGCACTGCTGGGCATAAAATGACCAGCAAAGTGGAGTCACTCAGTGGCATGTCATACCACTGACATGCCCACGAGTGTAGATGGAAAGCTTTTGTGGGGGGAGGCTCACTATCCTGAAACATGATGCTTACCACCTCCTTAGAAGACAAGCCAGGTTAGACAAACCGAACCACCCTGCCCCCAAACCCCAGCCCCACCATTCCTGAGCAGAGACAGGCTCTCCATGACCGCCCCATGTCCTGACCTAAGACAGTATAGAGAAGACAAGAGACTAGGTCACCAAGACCCCCTGAGCCTCACATGTCCAGGCATATTCCCTCTGCTGCCTTCTTGTATCCCTTAACGAGCTGACCCACATCACATAGCGAAGGGGGACCCCTCTCCTAAGTTAGCTGACCAGGCTGAATTTATAACCATAAAAATAAGAAACTAACCATTTACCTCTTCGAGTGCTGTCTCCCAAGGTTGCTAAAGGCAGGCCTCTGGCATTCCTGACAAGAACCAGACCAGGTGCAGTTGGCTGAAGACAAGATGGACTCCAGCATTGACCTCTCACCAAGTTTTCCTCATTATAATCATATCGTAATACTAACAATCACACCCAGGGCTGGAGATTTAACGCGCTAATGAGACATATGCATGAGAAACACATGGTCAAACTGCGCAGGTGCTAAAAGTTCCCCATCTCTATGTGCCTACATGCCACTCCTTTTTTTCTTCCCTCAGCTACCTTAAAATGACAAGAGCCAAGTCCTTCCAGGAGCTAGCACCAGGATCCCTTTCCCGTACAATGCTCCCGTGTGTTGCTCCAGCTGCAAGCCTATGAAACCTTGCCTGAATAAAACTTTTGTTTTGGCCCGGTGCTTTTTGTTGTTGTTGTTTTTTTGAGACAGAGTCTTGCTCTGTCGCCCGGCTGGACTGTAGTAGTATGATCTCAACTC